CATCCCGGCCGCTTCGCACTCGGCCGCAAACCGCTCCAGCGAGAGCTGCAGATCTCGTTCCGAAAAGTACATCTGGAAGTAAATCACTTCCAGATGTAAATCCAAAAAAGGGTTTTCTGTAAATCTCTTTAAAATTGATCCGCAAGATATTTTGCTAACAAAGTTGTCTCCAAATATTAATGCCACCATTTTAAACAGTGATCATGTGTAACCTAATAGTGCTGAGAATATATGCTGTGTGTCACTCTCAGCTATTACCATTCTAAAATTTTGGGTAATTAACTGTAAAACTACAGCAGTTTGGGGGCTTTTACGGTCGTTTGGCTGTGAGCCCWTTTTAAATTGATTGTTCACTATTTTTAACAAGTTGCAGATCTCTGTGAGTTGATCAGTCTTGGTTAAATGGTTTACAAGATGTTTGTCACAGACAGGCCTGTGCCTTTTGGCAAGTGATAGATTTTATGTCCATTACAACATGTAGTGGAGCTCCACAGCACCAAACTTTTATTTTTATTTTTTAAATTTATGGCTCTTATTCACAAACTCCACGCATTTTTTATTGTCTTCATTTCTTTAAAACAAACTCATAACTCCATTAGCACAATGRAAAACAGAAGAATTTGGGGTGTTCTTTTCTTCCTCCTGCTTGGAGTGTATTTTTATCCATGGAGGAAACCTCCAACCCTGTATTTACCAGGGGTGGGGTCACACCAAACCAACATGGAGTCCCTTGGTGCAGCAGACAGCCAGCCTCTGTGCTCTGATATGTTGACTGTGCGATCACCTCTGAAGGATAGTGGGACTCTATAGGAAGTGTGGTTTCTRGGCCTTAAAGTGGGCCTGTGTAAGATCAACATGTACATTCCTTTAAAGTTATAAAAAGYTTCACCACCACTCCGGTTCAGCTGTGAATGTGATGCTGGATAAAGACATTTTGTCAGCTTTCAACTTTTTAAATTACAGCCTCTTTAAATTTATTCTAGTGTGTACTCTATCAGAGCATTTTACTGAAACAGCTTAGCTGAATCCTGGTGGTTTCCTTTATTCAAATCTCTCCAGTTTATTTTTGACATTTTTGATAAGCAAAATACAAAACAAAAAATCTACACATTTTAAGAAATGTAATATAATTTGCAGAAGTTAATTTTAAAATTTAAATGTTTTTTAAAAGTCATAAACTACAACAGAGCACAGAAAGGCATATTTMAAAAAGTTATAAAGTAGTTTACATTTATTTATTTACCCCCAGCCTGTCAAGTTCTTTGTGTTTAACATTAGTTCCCAGTCTATCAATCTTGTGTTTCCTGTGTTACTCCTAATTTCCCCTCAGCCATCCTCAGTGTTTTTCCTGTCAGTCAATCACTCACACCTGTTGCCACTCCCCAATTATCTCAGCTGCCCCTCATGTCTCATCAGTCCAGTTCCTACGTCTTCACATCAGTGGATCATGGTTTCTGCTATCAGTCTCAGGCATCCTTCTTCTTTCTTGTGTTTCTCATTTATGTAAGTTTTGCGGCGACTTCTGCTTTTCAGTTTTGTTTTATTTGAGCTTCCTGTGTTGTCTGCATTTGGGTTCATCCATCACCAACTAATCAGAATGCAACGTGAGCAACTGACTGTCAAGTGTGTATTTGCCTGTTTAAAATAAAAAAAATTAAGTGTGTGTGTGTGTGTGTGTGT